TATAATCGCACTGGTACTGAAATACAATACTCGCGGTTTTTTTTAAAGAGCAGTGGCAAGAGAATGCATTCTAATTGAAGCGCTGGTTTGAATTTTCATGGTAAAGTCGTTCGTTGCCTCTACACTCCACTCCACCCATCATATTTCCCACTATTCTAACACATAGTATAATGTGCTCCACAAAAAGGGGGGAGGGGGGGGGGGCGGCATGAATTATGAGAAATGAGAAAAAGCTTTTTCCCTTGAGTTTCTGAATTGATCTTTGAACACGTTTTTTTTAGCATATATATATTATTATCTTATGGGCTAGCATATATATATATATATATATATAATATAATCTATATCTTATGGGCTGGGATGATACATACCATTACCAGGGTAAGATGTTGTACATGTATTGGTAGGCCTATTAGTCTAGTACAATGTTGTTGTTGTAGCGGTGCCCATTGGAAGATCGGTTCGGTTTAGTTTCTGGCTGCTTCAGTGCACACTTTATAATTGTTATACATAAATTCATAATACATGACCAACCAGCCTCACCGATCGAATGACGCGTTTGTTTGCCATCATCGGTTTTGTCAGTTTTGCAACCGACCAAACTGAACCGAACCAAACCGATAATGCCAAAGGGCACCGTGTATAACGTCGTCGTAAAAATGACAATACACTACTGTTGAAATGCTTAAAATTAACAAAAGACACCTCTAGGCTATATATATTGTACTGCAAACTGTTGCAAACTAGATCTATGAGCTTTCATAGGGAGCCAGTTTAGCGTAATAACATAGGCGTTACACTACTACATCTTATTTGTTCCTACATGACATGTTCTACTTTTGTCCCCGTCGTTTTATTCAAGAAAAACTCTGAAATTATGCAAACTGAGCCCAAAAATGTGAAATTATGCGATTCTGTTAATTATAACAAAGAGTAATAAAGGAAATAATAAAAAATTATGCAAAAAATGATCAAATTTGGCTAAATCAATCGGGGTGCATAAAACCACGGGGACAGCACTTGAAAGTTGTGTTTAGAAATCTAATGGGAGCAGCTTGATTCTGCAGTCGCTGTAACTTTGAAACACATTTTTATGAAACAAAAGACACTTCTAGGCAATCTTGGACTGCAAACTGCGTGCAGCAAACTATGAGCTTTCACAGGGAGCCAGTTATTAACTTAAGTGCTGTTGGATTAACATTCAGAGAGGCGAGACACACATGTTATTTTTTCCCACATGATATGTAGCCTACTGTTTGAAGGTTTGAAAGGGTTTACATTTACAGTTAAGAATTTGAATGGGAGCAACTTGATTCTGCAGTCGCTGTAAGTTGAAGACCTGTTTGTCGTTTTATGCCCTTCTGAAGTACCTTTCCAATATAAAGAGAATTATTGCTTTAGTCTAGTCTAGTCTAGGCATGAAGTATAAAAATATGAGGAGATGAAGGTTTTAATGAAATTGTCAGTAAGATAAGATGTCATGATTTAAGAACAAAAACATCAGATAACTTTAAGCCCTATTTTGCAGTTCAAAACAAATTGTGTCACAACATGGTGAAATCATCAGGAGCTCCTCAATCTTTGGGTATTTGGAGTACCTTGCTTCAAAGTTAAAGCTTATTAATTTAACTTAGGCCTACTTTTGATGGAAAAAATACCCACCTGTCTTGATAAGTAAGAAGCTGAGATACAGCGGAGTCTGCTTAAAAAACCAAAATCTGCAGGACCTCCAGATTTTCTTCAGTTTAGCCCAGCTTTTGGTTCAGGGAGGTTGTTCAAAAGCGAAAAAAAAATCAGCAATTTTATTATTTTCCTGTTTTTCACCGCTTTCAGATTTTAATATTTACTGTTTAAGTCAAGCGGAGTCCACTATATTTCTGCCATAAGTGGACAAAACACTTTTTTGAACTTTTTTCCATTTCGAGAAAAATATATTTTTTTGTCAGCGTAACCATTTAAAAGTAGTGTTCTCCAAAATTAGAATTAGAATTTATTAAAAAAACTAGTCACAGTTTCACTTCGATTTTTTCACAAAAGTAAGTTAACTGATTTAGCAAATTAAATACAAACTTTTGGCCCCAAAATGAAAAAAAGTGTTTTGTCAGCTTTCAGCAGCATAAGTGATCAGCAATTATGGTCACCAATGAACTGCTCTGTAAAACACTCTAGAAAACTCTAGAATCACAAGAAAACTCCAGAAACACTCTAGAAAACTCTGTGTCCCTCATAACAAAACACCCTGTGACAAAATATGAGATATCATTGATTTCCTAAAATGTGTTCAGTCCCGGCAATTACATGTTGCGGAACTTTTCTTCTTTTCTTTCACTCACAAAAGACATTCGAAGCCAATAAAAAGCAAATGATTGCCAAAGATAAGCTGTTCTGTGAAAAACTGGACAACTTTGTCTCTTGCGAAAAAAAAATACAATTAAACAACGAAATTCATGGTTTCCTCTTTCAAACTAACTTAAATCTGTCTTGAATGAAAAATGAACGGCTACTCTTGATCACACCAAAATACATGAAAACTATAAAAATCAATAAAATCTGGATTTCGAAACTGTGGCAAAAGTATTTCGTCGTCAACTGCTTACAAATAACTTACATGTGTACTGTCCCTCGTGACAAGAACATTTTCCGTTACATTGTACATGTAACAAAAGCTATGAACTGGATTTATTACATTTAATACAATGGATTGTCTTTGATAATACATGTATTATCAATTTGTCATTTTAAAAACTTGGAGGGTCACTAGAATGTTAGTCTATCTTGGTGATAATTTATGAGTGTAACTCTTTATCTCTGAGGAGGGTAAACCCACCATGCTGGGGTCCTTTTTTGATACAAAATCTAAAAGAGACATATACAAACATATTTTTTAATTCTAAAGATGAACTCATGTAACTTTGAATATCTGCACAAGACAAACGTTCTAAAAAAGGCGGAAATAATGGTTAGTGACCATAGCCACCCACTAACATAGGAATTTCAACTATCGACCCCCAGTAAACGATACATTTCCAAAAAAGCAAAAACAGACATATATAGAAATTCATTTGTACCAACTGCAGTGAGGTTACTGAACACACAGTGCTACAAATGAGAGAGAGAGAGAGAGAGAGAGAGAGAGAGAGAGAGAGAGAGCGAGAGAGAGAGAGAGAGAGCGAGAGAGAGAGAGAGAGAGAGAGAGAGAGAGAGAGATTTACGGAGCGGGTTGTCCCAGCCCGTGAGACATGTATTTACTTGGCCTAATGTCCTGTCTTGTTGTGCGTTTGCATGAGTGCACCTTTAAGTCTAACTTTAGTAACGTCTACTGCCATTGTTAACGACCAAGACAAATTTCTCCCAGCGAGATGAATAAAGATTGTCATTGTCATTGTCAAAGAGGCTGTTTTTGGCAACTGCCCAAAAGTGATTAGATGTTGAAGTAGCTATAGAGGAATGTGCCCGAGCTGCTCCCAGCGGTTTACCAGCACAGCTGTTCCGACCGTGAGCCACTAGGAGCGGCTTGCCAGAGATAAGGAGTTAGGGTAAAGTATTTTTGTGACCGCTATGGAGAAGTGTCCATTCAGTATTCAGGCAGGTTCAGCTGTAGTCACAATAATACATCCCATCAAACCTCACCATAGCTATTAGTAGAAGTTTCAGAGCATAACTTTTGCATTAGTGTTACTTTATAAAAATGACAATTCAAAGTTTCAATTACATAACATTTATTCATTTATTGTTATGGCCTGATTAAAAAATCAAACAAGTCAGAACATTAATAACAATAATAATAATAAATCTAATATTTAAATAGAGGACATTTCCACCAGGACAGTGCTCAATGCACTTTACAGCAGCACAAAAACATAGAGTTCCCCAATAGTGATCCGTATACTTATACTCCCCCCCCCCCCACCCCTACCCTCCCTCTCTGTCTCTATCTTTTTCTCTTACCATTCCCTCCCTCTACAGGTTAACTTATTTGTGATGAAGTGCTTTTGTTTACTTAAACAATCTCACACTCTGTGGTGTGGAGTTGGGAAGGAATTTCGAGTGTTTTCACAATATAATGATAATGGGCCATGAAACTACAAAACATTTCAAAATCAATCCCAAACATATAGTTTCTGAAAGCTGGTCAGCATGGTCTTACACAACATAGACAATTAGAGACAGCCAATCGTAATCATGATAGACTACTAACAACATACAGTATAACATGGATAGGTTGAACCCAGAAGATTCAAAATCACGCATCCGTCGAACTGTGCCTGCGGTCCTGTTTTTTAAAATTCCTTATCTTTGCAAAGTATCCCTTGAACTACGGATCTCTCGAACCATCGAGGTCAGTCCCAACGAGCTATTTAGGTTATACTGTATATGGTCGCTTTTAAGGACAAGTGGGCTAAACCAGATTTTGGGGGTTTCCAGAAATCATGACTTACACCAAAAGTGGGCATTGCCCTACCTATAGGAGGAGTTTGGTTTCATTGATGTGTATTTTTGTTTGCTTATAGAGAAAACTCTCCTTGTCTTTATAGAAACTGAACAAGGGTCCAAAAACTTTACCTTTGATTTTCTCAAAACAGCATTTACCGGGATAACCCACTTGCGCTTAAAAGCGACAATATATGTGAGGCAGCGTGGTGGAATCAGGCTCTCGTCAATTTTTGGGCATGTAGAGGTATTGGTATCATCTTAAAGCTTGTTCCACTTGTCTTTATTTTGATGCAAAAAAATATCCATTTATCTTGAAAACAAGTCGATATATTTGCAAAAGAAGGAGGTAGGGGCCATCTGTTTTCAGAGGTAAAATTAGTGAGAAAATGACCGCCAAAGATTAGTTATTTCCTTAGCTTAAGAGTCCGTAGTAACTGAATATTTACATTTTTATGCCTTTAATCAACGCTTTTCAGAAAAATCCACACAGAAATGAGTTCTTTAATGGGCATGAAAGGTGTTGTGCCAAAAAAACAAAAATTTGATAAAAATTCACAAACCTGCGGAAAAATGCAAGTTTCTTCACTTTGATTATTTTGACGAGAGCCTGATTCCACCACGCTGCCTCACATACAGTCAAGTCTGAGACAAAGTATGATAAATTTGAATACTTTTTGAGTGTGAGAGACTTATCAGCCACCACGCAAGACTCCTTGGGAAGATGAAAATATTGTTATAAACTGGTAAGCTCTACAATAGACTCGACTGTAAAATAACATTAAGTACCGGCATCTATGGTGTAGTAGTTATGTGCTCTGCTGTCGCATGCAACAGACCCGAGTTCAAATCCCGAGTAGGAAGGAAATTTATATCAAGAAATATCTCAGTCTTTCTGCTGGGATGCTGAATCCCTCTCAGCCAGTGTTGGCCCAGACAAGCAAGTTCAGAAGCCCACCTCCTTAATGATCTAAATTGTGCTGATGGAGATGTTAAAAACACCTACATTAAAAAACAAAATTCAATTTTAAAAAATGTTAGTCCAAACATCTGTGGTCATTCTTTCTTCAGCCCGACGACTTAATCGCCACCAAAGCAAGGTTCCTTGGGGAGATGAGATCGTCAAAGACTGGCACAATTCGTGAGTCGAAATGTCCTCGTTCCTTCAACCAAACGAGGCGGTCGCGGTAGACAAGACTCTCCACAACGGGTTGGATGATCACTTGAAGGCACTGTGGAGACAGAAAAGTCGTTTCATTCATTTTCTATTTTTGTATGACTACTTTTAGAAACAAACAGGCTACTTCATCGTTGGAATATTGAACCTGTTAAGAGGGGAAAAAAACGTTAAAAAATGTAGTACCGGTAAAATTTCACTTTTATCGATATCTGTGGAGTCACTTGGTAAATAACGACGAAACGATAATAACACACATAAGTATGGTACATAAATACTGTCAAGCCTGTGTAAGATGGCCACGCATCGTCAAGGAGAAAATTGGCCGTATAAGAAAGGTGGCCATCTTCGGCAGGATTGATCAAAATGAAGAAAACAAATCATTCCCTTCTGAGGTCCCAACCGAAGGTATCCGCATTGTTGTCTTTGTTGTTGTAGTTTTTGTTGGTTTGTTTTTTATTAGCTTTTATTTGTTGCTGATTTTGTGCAAGGGTGACAGTAAAACGAAATGTGTCAGACGAGGAAGACCGAGTGTCAAGGTAAAACAAACACATGGTCACCACCACTCGGAGAATGAGCCGCGCTTCTGTTGGTGTCATGTTGGTGTCTATTGTTGCTTTGTGTATGAGTTGTGGGCGGGGCTTATGGGTATATGGGGGAATCACACTCTTAGGCTACCTCACCAGCAGCTGGAAATTTATTGTTACCTATTGGTCAACAGTGGGAGGGGCCTACGCAGCATGATGGGTTGAAGGGACTAACAATAACGACGGGGGACTGGATTATGACGGCTTGTACACAGCGTCAGGGGCCAATACAAAAGTTATGACAAAACTTCCGGTGATAAGCAAGGTGGCCTTCTAAGACAGGTATTATTGTTGAGTGTGATAGGGGTTGTGTGATAAAATGTGGAGGCCACGGCCGTGTTGGACAGGTGACCGTTTTACACAGTGAAATTATATATAAAAGAAACGCAATGGCAGTATTATACAGGTGGCTGTCATGACAGGTTCGACTGTACATGAATACAAAGAGATGCATAGAAATAGATACCAGGGGTTGGGAGGGTGAAGGGCTATATGGCTGGGGGGGGGGGGGGGGGGGGGGGGGGGCTAGAACTGTGACTTACTTGTAAATCATAATCATTACCACTGCAAAATTGTTTGATCAACAATAATTGTTTCGCTATACATTAAATAATGGAAAAATAACCAAACAAACTGGATGCCATTTTTTGCTGCTATCAGCAGTTTCTCACGAAATAACTTTCAATGAATTGTTTTTCTTGCCCCACCAAGAGCATTTCTCCGTGTTTGTCCAGATGAGCTTGCCTTTTCTATAATCAACATTGTGTTCAGTAGGGCAACATCATCAACAAGATAAATGTGAGGCAGTGAGGTGAAATCAGGCACTCGTCAAAACAATGAAAGTGAAGAAAGTGGCAGTTTCCTGCAGGTTTAGGAATTTTTATCAAAATTTTTGTTTTTTAGCTCAACACCTTCCACGTCAATGAAAAAGCACATTTCTGTGTGGATTGTATTGGAAAATGCCAATTAAAGGCATAAAAGTGTTATTCTGTTTCCATGGACTCTCAAGCTAAGGAAATAACTGTGGCGGTCATTTTCTCGCTAAGTTTACCTCTGAGACCAGGCGACCCCTACCTGTATTTCAATCAAAATTATCTCGATTTGTATTCAAGACAGCCAAGAACATCATCAAATGCAACACCTGGGAACAGTGGCTGAATGGATGGGCAATGGGCAAAACTGGAAGAACTGTATTTGCACACATGACAGCCCCCAACTCTAAAGATGCTATAAATTTCCTGAGTAGAAGAGAACAAGTCAAGATATTTCGCCTGCGAACACAACACATACCACTAAACTCCTACATTAATAGGATCGGCAAGAATACCCCACCCGACTGCCCGTTGTGCCACTGCCAGGATGAAACAGTACCACACCACCTCTTTAACTGCCCAGCACTTTGCGACCTGCGTAGCACCTACCTACCTGCCTCCCCAGACATCGGAAATACTCTATACAGTGACAAAGCATAGCTGATTAAAACCTGTCAATTCTTTGCCATATTGACAGACCAAAGGGCTAGAACCCAAATGGCCGCTGGATCGGAAAAGCAAAGTTAAGTAAAGTAAAAGTATTCAAGATAAATGTATATTTTCTTTCATCAAAAGCAAGACAAACGAAAAAGTTTTAAGGTGATACCAATAAGTTCACACGCCAAAAAATTTACGAGGGCCAGATTCCACCGCGTCATGACACAAATACTCACTGTCCAGGGCTCTATCAAATCAAAGACATCCTTGTGTTCACAAAAATATCGCTTCAGATCACAGATTTGTCTTCTTGTTTCATCTGAAGGAAAACAAACAAAACAGGCATCTTGAAAAACGGCAAAAGAAAACCAAAAAAATACTCAGTAGTGAATGTAGCAGAAAATAATAACCTGTTTTGTTGATAGAGACGTAAAAACAAAGAAAAGATTATTTGCCACAAATACTGTTCCAGAAAAATATTGAGTCCTTTAGGGCAGAAAATATTACAGAAAATAGTAACAATATAACTGATTTTACAAAAAGCATGTAGGGTCTATTTTATAACATTTCATAATTAAAAAATGGAACCACCACTATACTGTATCCGTCCCCGCAGAATTATTCAAATTTAGATGGCCAAGTTATGCATGACGAATGCAAAATTATGCAAAAATTATGCAAATTGTCTTAACGCCATTCACGACATGTTTTGCGCTTTTTCAACAAGAATTTTCATGTTTTAGATCTATGTACAGAAGAATTGTAAACAGAACATATCAGTATCAGTAGTTTTTTTGTGTATATTTGAAAAGATACACAGCAGTCAGAAAAAAACAACAACCAGAAAATATAATCTCTGTAACTATCAGCTGTATAGAGGATGGAAAAATGATTTTTACAAAAAAAAAAAAAAAAAAAAAAAAAAAAAAAAAAAAAAAAACGCATTTGGACCTCTGATGCTGGCACATCACTAAAACCAAGGACTCCTGTCAAACATGAAACATCAGCAGACATGAGAATAACTTTTGATGGATTGAAATAATTTTGAACATGCTCAAGGAACAAAGATCCCTAACAAGGGAAGTAGCCTAACTGTCACTTAAATGAGACTTATTATTCCGATTACTTCCCTTTAGTCACATCGCAAGGCGTTAAACTGTTTTGTGCCAAATTTTATAATGTAAAATAAAAATACAGGGAACCCAAAATTATGCAAATGTTGAAGAACTATGCGAAAAAAAGCGGCCGCACAATCGCATGATCCGACTGGGACAGATACTACAAACAGTCAAACCCTGTAATTTATATTTACAGTGGAACTCGGGTTCAACGAGGTCGCCGGGCCTGACCTAAAATCTTGTTGAATCCGAGTGTTCGTTATTATAGCAAACACGAGGTTTTGTGTAGATAATTACAGTCACTGAGCAAGTAATGTAAACAGGGAAGTAGCAAGTGGTGCCTGATATGTCTGCATATTATGAGCAGTGTAAAAAAAAGACAGATTCGTTCAAATGCACACACCTGTGTCATCTCGATTGTTTACCAAAAAGTTGTGTTGCTGTGTAGAGCCCAGCATATGGCAACTTTTGATTCCATAGACCAGCATACAATTCATTACGTAGATCTACGTCAAGACTAGCTTATCATTGTAATTATCAGTTGCCGTGGGGAAAAAAAAAGGCTGTGATGCATTTGTCTGCGACGTTCAGCACTTGGACCGCTAGTCCCCCCCCCCCCGACACGCACACACAGCCACATGTGTGCATACGGCCCATACGACCCCAACACACACCAAAGTAGACACGTGCGCGTGCCAACAATGCATGTGTCGGTATGGAAAAAGGCTGCCGATTTGTAGCATGCAATCGGCTAAGTGAATAATGGTTCACGATGCAGGTGCAATGGACGGTTTCCGGGAATAGATAAAGTTCGTTCTGGGAGAAAAATGAGCGAAGCCACGTCTGCGGGGGCTGTTCACCCTGGAAGCGACCTCGTTGAATCCGAGCTCACTGATTTAAGTGCTTGTGGAATCCGGGTTATTTTTTATTGATTTTAGAGAAGAAAAAAAAACGGGGAATCTATCTCATCTCGTTGAATTCGAGTTCCACTGTATATTAGAAGCCCCGTTGACAGCCAGATTTTGCCAATGTGTAAAAAGGAAAGCCTATATGTATATTAAAGCATAGCAAATCACCTTTACACTGTCATCTACCAACTCAACTGCTGGGATGCGTAAAAAAAAAGAGGTGCTGGGACTGGAGACAAAGATCAACTTAACCGAAGATCAACTCAAATGAGTTCAACACAAGCGGAGTTAACTGTAGTAATTTCAGAGGGGAAAATGCTGCTTTCTTATGACAGTAATATTTTTTTTTGACAGAGGGTAAAAACTCGGAGACGACAAAGATGACTTACCATCAGTTTTATCCTCAGGGAAATATGATGTTAGAAAGGACTGAAAGCTAGAAAAGTCACATTTGCGCACTCTCTGCCTCATTGCTGTGCTCGGAGTACCTGAAAAACAAACAAACGAAACAAAAATATTGAACAAGTTTGCGCAACCCAACTCTATAATATATTCACAACTCTTTTTTTATATGCACAGCAGCACAAATGAAATCCATCTTAATGACACCAGCAGCGTGTTAGAGGAAGAGGAGGAGAAAAAGGAGGAGAAGGAAAAGGAGGAGGAGGAGAAAAAGGAAGAGAAGGAAAAAGCGGTGAAGGAGGAAAAAAAAGGAGGCGAGAAAGGTGGATGAGAAGGAAAAAGGAGGAGGAAGAGAAGGAAAAAGAGGCGGAGGAGGAGAAAAAGGAGAAGATGGAAAAGGAGAAGGAGAAAAAGAAGAAAGAGAAAAATGAGGAGGAAGAGGAGAAGGAAAAGGAGAAGGATGAGGAAGAAGAGAACAACTGTACTTGTAAATTCCAAGAGAGCTCTGTAAGCGACGTGCCGTGTGTGGTCTGCATGGTCCTCTTCCGTCTGGGACCTCCATCGGCACCTGGAAGAGGCACATGGACAAACTGTTGGCGCTGCTATCTGCCACTCACTCATGTTTTAGAAAGCATTTTACGACACTTGCAACACAATTAGGTCATATAAGTTCTGAAGATTAGAGGTGTTAAAAGAGAGTAACAAACATAAAAAAGAAACAGGACAGGAAATAAGGAGCAAACAACACCAGAGCACTTGCTAACCACCCGCGTCGTTGACTCAGCTGATTCAGGTAATTTGATTAAAAGAGAAGGAAATTAAACCAATAATGACCAAGTAGCCTACAAGGGAAAACCTACACAGACAGATAGACAAAGGACCATACACACAGACAGACAGATAAAGAGCCAAACAGACAAAGAGACAGACAGACAAACAGACAGACAGACAGACACAGATAGGTCAAATGGTTTTTAACACATGTTTGAGTTTGAGTGGTTGGCTTGACTCCAGGGTTCCCCACCTGCCACTGAACCCAACAAGGGATACATTGCTCGTATCAGAGCTGTGCCAGGGCTAGCCTGCAGTTAACCTCTTCACGAGAGTGAAGCCGAGAGTGATGTTTAGTTTTAGTTAGAGTTTTACGGCACTTGCAACACAATAAGGTCATATATAAGTGCTGAAGATCAGAGGTGTTACAAGAGAGTAACAAACACGAAAAAGAAGGAGAGATCAGGACGACAGATGTTTGATAGGAAAGAAGGAGCAAACTACACCAGAGCACCCACCAATCACCCACCCCGAGAGTGAAGCAGCCCTCCTGTCAAGACTGACCCAGGGACGGACAAATGGGGTTTCGGCTCCCAACTGATTGAGTGGCATGAGCTGCGCCACCCTCCTTTACAGAGGCAAAAGTGGGCAAAGAAGTGTACCATCAACTGCCTGGTTTCCCTCCACAAGGGTCGCACCTCACTGTCAACAAGGCACCCACTGAGTGGGATGAGAGGGGACCTCCGTTTTGTTACACAGGAGGCCATCAGTGGAAGAGAAGATATTAGAATTAGAAGGAGGGAGTGAGATGGAAGGAGAAGAGAAAGAAATATAAAAGAAGGTGTGGAACATGGATCCCAGAGGGTAGATAATCCCCCAACCCACTGGGTTGCAAAATGAATTTTTTCCAAAGACACAGGCTTAGTGGTAATGACAAAGACAAACTTTTATTGATGTCACAACAAAGAATTTGTTCTTGTGTAATCTACATCTGCAACAAATTTTTCAAGGACATAGCCTACATTCTCTCTGTCTTCCTCTTCCTCCCCAAACCCCCACTTCCTCCAAATAGATCTCTCACTCTCAATCACACTTATGCCCTCTCCTACAAACTTCCGAATCTCTCCCTCCATCTCCGATGTCTGGCTCTTTGTCTGTCTGTCAGTCTAGTCTGTCTGTCTGTCTGTCTGTCTGTCTGTCAGTCTAGTTTAGTCTGTCTGTCTGTCTACTCACTCTACTTCTCTCTTCCCCCTCAAACAAACAAATCAATAGTCTAATGGTGACAAAATTGTTCCTACTTAGTCTCTTGAGCACCCAGCCGCAGTGTGAAAGGCGAGACAGGTGGGCAGGGAGAACTCTGGGTAACTTGACGGTACTGACTTTTTCCAGATTGGCTGAAGGGAAAATACTCAAACGTCCCTGGGGAGGTGTCTGGGAAAAGTGAAAGAGGAACATAAATATTTAGTCTAAAACATATTGTGATCTCCGTTATTCACAGCTATTGTTAAAATTTTATGAAGTAAGCCTACTCTACACGTTAGAGACCATTTCAAATGTAACACATTATTACGGGAGTAGGCCTACATTGTGTTATAGTTATAACATAAAATGTAATTTTAGAAGCGGGCTTTGACTCTGCCTTTCAGTGCAGGGTTGGTTATTTCATTTTAATTTTTCATTTTGTTTAACATGGTTTATCTTGTATGGCCAGGAATATCACTCTGTAAAAGTGGTGACATGTTTACCTGAAAATCTAATTGGTCCATCACTGAAAATCCATCCCATCGATACCATACCCCACTCCATCGACCTGTTCCAACCCTGATCTGCATATATGATCTCACCCGAACAAATAAAGGAGTTTATCCTTCATTCCTTTGTGACTCCAGACAACAAGGCTCAACTACATCACAATAAGCAAGCTCCAAGCCCGATGCAGCAAATGCAATGTAAAAATGACATGTCTTTCAAGCAAACAGCCAGTTGTGAAAAAAGTAAATCCTCAGCCATCTGCTAAAATTTTACTACGCCCAATATTTGATTTTGGCCCAATGTTGTTTTAAAAAAAATTGTAGTCTCTATATCTGTGACATAGATTTTTTTCGCCCCCTCCTACCCACCCAGCAGTAATGGGTTCCCTACTTTGAGTTGGGGAAGAAAAGGTGGCGTGGAAAGGAACTGGCCACCCTACCACAATATGCCGAAGGCCCAGGACGTTGTCTCACTAACAACGCAATCCCCAATGTCCGGATCGGATGTGGGAACAACTTTACTTTCAATATCTGTGACATAATTTGGAGGTGCTCAAAAATTATTTTGTCGAAATTCAAAATCGAAATGTTGAACAATGCAAGAAAAATATATAATGTAGGTACAATTGTTGAAAGAATGCAATAGTTTTCCCATAAAATTTTGGTTTCTGGGTTTGGTACATTTGAACAACTCTTTGACCAAAAAATGTTTTTAAAATAGCTCACGGTCACTGTAAGCCATCTTGTGATAGCAGCAGCTGACATAGCACAGGGCCTTGACGTGATCGCTGCGGTCAAACAGGGACAGCATGGAGGTCGAAAGGTCACCACAGCAATGCAGTCCAATTACACAAACTCTCAGTTCCTCCCCATCAGTACCCTTCCAATGGTGTTCCCCGGCTTCGTTTTCTGTTTTGAAAGCAAAACTTTTACGATAAAATTGATGATAAAAAAACAGCCCCAAAACCCCCTCAAACAACTTGTAATACATTTTTTCACAGTATTGGCTACTCAAGAGGAGAATCCTCAGATTATCGCAGAACAGATGGAGAGGAATAAGAAAACATAACAATACATTCCAACTACCATAATCAAGAAAATGTACTAGCAGTTATCAAACATTAGCCAAGCACACTGTAGTCAAATGACAGAAAGAAAAACAAGGACAAGGTCTTTTTTCTTAATGGAACCAAAAACAAACAATAAGTGTCAAATTAACAGCGATTTCTGTACTAAAAAGTACCATTTTTTCTTTATTCGAGTAAAGAGTTTTTAGTTTAGTTTTAGTAAGTGTTTTACGGCACTTGCAACACAATAAGGTCATATAAGTGCCGAAGGTTAGAGGTGTTACAAGAGAGTAACAAACATAAAAAAGAAGGAAGAGAGATAAGGACGATAGATGTTTGATCTATTTAAAGAAAAAAGAAGCAAACCACACCAGAGCACCCGCCAATCACCCATTTTCGAGTAAAGAGAAGCACATCGACACTGTAATGTCCATTTAGTGCAGGAAAAAAGCAATATAGACAGAAATATATGAACAAAAGAGGGAAAGAAAAGTTGGACGTACTAGTGGCATAACACTATTACAAGCAATAATGACAAAAATAAACAAAAGAATGATGATTATGACAATAATAATTCCAACATTAATACTACTGCAAATAATAATTATAATAGCAACATAAATACCACTGCAAATAATAGTAGAACTAATGATACTTATGTTAACAGTAATGGTAATAGTAAAGTGTACGGGTTTCACATCCCTGTCAACACTATCAGATAATCAGAGGTGGGTAACAATAATCATTATCCTAGTAATAATAATCATAATAACGACAACTTTGCCAAAGACAAAGATGATGTCAAGGACAACAAAAGCAAAAACAAAACAGCTGCGATAATAATACAGTGGAGTCCACTTATAACCAGTCCTGAAATAACAAGAAGTCTGTTATAAAGAAACTATTCTAAAACCCCGTTTTTTCCCTTCTTTATCTTTGTAAATAAAGTACTGCTATAGCGCAATCAGATAAACGTGCGAGTCAGTTATAGCGGAATATTGCTGCTGCTGTGCACAGCGCATAGGCCAGATATACATGATAAAACCTCGCCAGTTGAGAAACTTGTTGGTGATCTAGCGAAACCTAGGACCTTACATTTAACTCCTTGAGTGAAACAAAGAATGGGAGAGCCCACGCGTGCCAACAATGAAGATCGGAGCGAATGAGTGGGGAGGGTGTGGTATGCCCAGACAAGCAGAACGCATCACATGATAGGCCTGCCTAGTCTAGATTATCTAGGCCTATCACTACCATACCTCTCACTTCTCAAAAAGCAGGGATAGAGAGGTCAAAATGCTGTGATGGATGGAGCAAATGTGTGACGTGCGCAAGCAGTCGAACGCACCACGGGGTGTGGTGTGGTGGGGAACAACACAGCGGGTGAGTTAGCCTAAAGTCCTTTCTGTCAACATTGCAAGCGCTAGAGAGAGAAACCCGATTCGATTTTTGATCAAGTAAGATCAAGAGGTCATGTTGAACGATATCATCATCAGGGGAGATAACAAAAAGAAATAAACAGAACACCAAACTCATAGATTAGATCTAGGCCTACTGTATTATTTCCTTTAAATTTATTACTGGATCCCTTATATAACGAGAATCTTCGTATAACGCATATTTCGCACCGGTCCCCTCCCTCTCGTTATAACAGGATTCCACTGTAACAACAGCAATAATAAAAATAATAATAACAACAATGACAATGATAATAATATGGCATTCATACAGCGCTCAATCCTGATAAAAGACCACAAGCTCTGAGCACTTTACAAATACAACAGTGACATGCTATTAGCACATTGTGCTCTGACTAAAAATGTTCATACACATCCAATTAATTTAAAATCATAAGTAAATTTAGCTGGCATTTGAATGAAATTAAAAGACTTGGTCTCTCTTAAACCACCGGGCAAAGTATTTCAGATCTCAGGACCATGATACGCAAATGCCTTTTCACCCGTTGTTCTAAGTTTCATACATAAGGGTAAAAGCAATTTCTTTTTGTAAGCTGATGACCTTAAACTGTGAGTTGGAATATATATAGATCTAGTTTCAATAGATATGATAAATATGTGAGGCAGTGTGGCGAAATCAGATGCTCGTCAAATAAAATTGAAGAAACTGGCATTTTTCTGCCAGGTGGGTTTTACTGAAAAACGTCGATTAAAGGCACAGAAAATGTAAGTTTTCAGTTTCCACGGACTATCAAACTATGGAAATAACTAAACTTTGGCGGCTATTTTCTCACTAATTCTACCCTTGAAACCAGGTGACCCCAGCTTCTTCAATCTCAAATATCTTGACTTCTATTCAAGACAGATGGGCACTTTTTTTCTTGAGAGCAAGACAAATGAACAAGCTTTAAGATGATACCAAGAACTTCACATGCCCAAAAATTGACAAGCACCTGATTCCACCACGTCGTGACACATACGATAAACAACATGTCGGTAAGCTGTTAAATTGTCCTAAGCCCAGAAAGCAAAATTTTTCAGGAAAGAGAAAAAACTTTCACTCTTGAAACAATTGTACCTGCTTTATTTTATATCGTTCCTAGCTTTTTTTTAACATTTAGAATTTGAATTTTCACAAAATATTTCTCGAGCTCAAGCAACCAATAGCACAGGTTTAGAACCTGCAATTAAGAAAGAAAGAAATTAAAGTTTGGGCTTATTACATTTTCACAGTTTGTCGACGATCTGAGACTTTCTGTTGTGTTTACCTCTCGTTTTCTTATGTCGACAAAGACACGTTAGGCCTTGGGCTTCCTCCCGTATCAAGGCATCAAGCTGCTGGAAACATTCGTCACCATTTGTGATATTGAATTTCCTGTTTACCACACCTCCGCAAGAAATACCTGTTTTAGTTTAAAATTAGTTTCAGTTAGTTTTATGGTACTTGCAACACAAACAGAGAGTGACATGCAAAGAAAATGGAGGAGACAAAATGACTGCAGCATGTTTGAAAAGAAAGGAACAAACCGCACTAGAGCACCTGCCAACCACATACAAAATGTCTATTCCATAAATTAAAAAAGGCTCAGGGTAGTGATGGTTAAGATGAATATGGTGTTGTTCCAATAATTAGTAGTTTCAGAAAGAGTCCAAGGAGTAAAATATTGCGCGTTTAAAAAAAATGAAATTTTCATTTATACTTTTCAATAAAATATCTCAAGATTCACTGTTTTAATGCTACTTTTGTCTCTTAACCCTATCCGTACGTCCTGGGGTCATTTTTTACCACCAGGGTTGTTTTCTTCACATTTTAGAATAGTTCTAGTGCGAAGATCTCTTTGAAACTTTTAGTATTTCTCAAAAAATCATTTTGACAGACTGCTATGCAAATCGTACGGATGGGATTAACGAGTAAATTTCCTTTTTGGAAAGTGGGGGCACAGAGTTCCCCATGCCGTATGGATATGATAGTAAAACACGACGTACGGATAGGGTTAATAATGATGTTTTTTGTAGTATAACAAGAGCCTTGTCGGTCTTCAGGAAATGGTACTGCCTCTCACTCTCATGCTTTCGATAAAGACGTCTCACCTGCCACACAATCTTCAGGTAAGACAAGGAGCTGAACTCAAAATCGAACTTAATATGGCAGAGAAAATTTGTTTTACCCCATGAGAGCTAGACGATCTACGAACATGAGGTCAGAAACCGAACTTTCTACCTGCTCTATCAAAATCGTAAGAACATTGCGGGTCGTTATCAAGATGTTCAAAGAATTGCACTCAAAAAAGCTTGACATGATGTGAAACTCAAAATCCTTTATGCCAAATTTCTCAAAACTAGGTAGGTGAGTAGATAGAACTTTGTTTCAAGGGTAGTGACTTGTCACTGAGTTGTGGATTATAAGCCTGTTGGCTTGAGAATGCTCACACTTCATTCTGAAGAGACAAGGACAAAACAAACATTGACACGATGTAGAGGGGTAAGCCCTGCCAGAGAGCCCACCAAACATCTGATGGTCAATGGTACACTAAGATAAAAAATTTTTTAAATACTTCTAAAACTCCCTTTTAGTCTGTGAGGTTATTCAAGTTCAAGCTGAGAATATAACATCCATCTACTACAGGTCTGAGCAAAGAACAAGGAGAGCTTTGAAAACTCCAAAATGCAACCCAAGTGCAAGAATGCCCCACTAGGGATTTGAACCGAGGTCCTGCACCAAGCTTTCAATGATAACTGGGCTATGTGGCACACCTCCTCTCGCATATATATATAGAATTTTAAACTGAAGAAAGAAAGAAAATAAAAAGCAACCAAAAGAAAATTATTTTTTTAAAATGATGCTCAAAACACATTAGCAATGCCCTTTTCACCCTACATCAAGGTATACGCCATGAACAAACACTTTCAATATTTTCCTATCCTAAGCTAGCCTCTTGATATCATTCCATGTCTTTCCACTTTTCTGTACATCATTCTCTGTGACTCTTCTCCAGGTTCCACGGCATTGGCCTTCCCCTTGATCTTTTACTGCTGAGTACACAATGGAACGTAAAACAAAACCAGCCCACCTTGTTGACAGGCCCGAGCCTCAGCTGCACAGGTGTGACTTTCGCTCGTCTCTAGCCCCAGGACTGGATGACCATACACCTGGTGTAGCACGTGGTCTAGATAGCCCTAGAAACAGCAAAACAGAAACCACTTAACCTTTCCATGTTACAAGGGGGAATGGTGTGTATGAGTGTGTGTGTGTGTGTGTGTGTGTGTGTGTGTGTGTGTGTGTGTGTGTGTGTGTGAGAGAGAAGTGGGGGGGTTGTATCCATCAAATCCAAGCATTTTTTGGTCTCTGGTAACAATACATCCTTCTGCTTCTTCTTCTACTTCTCCATCTTCTGTTCTGACTAAAGTGACTTCAGTTTTTGGAAAGGAATTACTTTTGAATTTTACCCAGTGTGAGATCAGCGTCTGAGTCGAAGTCCTGCCCGGCCAAGAACTTTTTCAAATGCAGGAACAGATAAAAGTCACTCAGAGCATGGTCAGGGCTGTACGATGGGTGCTCCAAATGTTCCCATCCAAAGGAGGCCATCAGGTTTTGGATTTGTGCAGACTTGTGAGGGGTTGCATTGTTGTGAAGCAGAACAACCTTGTCGTTAAGCATTCCGCGTCTTTTGTTTTGAATCGCTCTGCGCAGAGTTAATTGTCATCCCATTTCCCCAAAATTCTACTAAAAGAACTCCTTGCTGGTCCCCAAACACTGTACACATGACTTTTCTTCCTGATGCGGCCTGCGCAGAGCGATTCAAACCAAAGACACGGAATGCTTATCGAGGGCGTTGTTCTGCTTCACGACAATGCAACTCCTCGCAAGTCTGCTCAGAACCAAAACCTGATCGCTTCCTTCGGATAGGAACAGTTGAAGCATCAATAGTACAGCCCAGACCTGGCTCCGAGTGACTTTCATCTGTTCCTGCATTTGAAAAAGTTTTTGTCCAGGCAGGACTTCGACTCAGACGCTGATCTCACAGGAGCGACTGGACATTAGCTGACATCGCAGGCGGCAGCTTTCCATGATGAGGGCATTCAGAAGCGCGTCCCACGCTACGACAAATGCCTAAATAGTTCTGGTGACTACGTGGAGAAGTAGTCATATATATGAGGTATTCAAAAATAAATCGTTTTGATTGGGAAAATAATTTCTTTAATAATTATTTTAAAACGGTACTTACTTTCTGGACGTCCCTCGTATAAGTCAGACACATGACTTTCAGATATATAACATTATAACATAAACACTTTGTGTACCTTAGTGTTCACATGCACATGCATGCCCACACAAACACACACACACATGCACATGCACGCGCCCACACACACACACACATGCACGCGCGCGCGCGCGCAAACACACACACACACACACCACCACCAGCTGTCATTAAAAAAATTGCTTACCAGACCTGACCCAATATCCACCACAAGATGACATTTCGCATCTGTGACAACTTTGTCAACGAGGGAAGCCATCCATTCAACTTCGTGTTTCTTCTTTGGGTTCATTCCTCTTGACATTGTTGCATCTAAACCAGTTCCAGCACAGTCGACATTTTGGGCCCTGTCCAGGGACAAGGAGTTAGCTTTGGAAAGGAACTGCAGGAAAGACTCAGGCCAGTCTGCTTCCTGAGAAATAAGAATAAAAAAATTATTTGTTGGTGGTCTAGTGCTTCTCATAAAGCAAGACTAAAGAGCCATATTTTAAAACGTAGCTTTACTAA